ACTATCCTCCCTTGTGTTTATCCATATGTTGTAGTTATCCTAATCATTATAGGATTAGGATAATCATCCCCTTTATTGTTGTAATCCTTATCTCCTAAGGAATATGCTTTATTCTCTTTGTATGTATATATATGTATGTGCACGTGATGAATAAGATATACAGAGTTACAACAAACCTTCTTCTTTATTCCACAACAAATATCATTTTTACTAGATTTTTAGGTTTCCATTCCACATTTTTCCGTTATTTAATTATAAAATATCTATTTCCTTTTTATGTCTATAGTTCCTTTTTTTTCCTTAACGAATTCTTGTTATTTTGATATTTTCTTTCGGCAAACGTTTTAAGTTTTAACTGAACCTAAAAATAAAGGTTTGCTCTCAACCAAAAGGTAAAGATCTTTTCCTGTTTTTCATCAAGCTTTTTTATGATTACAGATTTGTAATTTAAGTAGATTATTGTACTGAGACGTGATCTATTCTTAGATGGATTAACTAGAAACAAAACCTGAAAGAATATGAAAAAAAAAAGAAGAAGAGATCCGTGTTCTGAGAAGTAGTAGTAGGTTGGTTGTTTAGAGAATGAAAACATTACTATATGGTTTTGTCTTTTTGGTAACTTTACTATATGTATTGAGACAAACTTGGATACGGAGAAGATGAGTTTTTGACTTTCATAGATTTATTATTAATTACACAACAACCTTGACATTTGCATCGGTTTTTGTAGCCGCCTTGGTTCAGCAATTATACACCCAAACATAACTACAAACAGAAGCACATAGATCTTTACTTTTGCAACTTCTTTTCTGACATGGTAGAACAATGGTAAAGCTGGTGTGAATACTAAAATATTCCAGGACTAAAATCTATAGTTAATATGTCGGCATTGCAACTTGACAGAGTTCTGGCATTTGAACTTTACGTGAAATAATTCAACACAATTTCTTAAACATATTTGTCATAAGAACAATTAGTATGTGACTTCACAAAAAGACAAAGAAAATCAACTTCTTAAACATATTAGTCATAAGAACAATTAGAATGTGACTTCACAAAAAGACAAAGAAAATCAATTTCTTTTTTTTTTTTTTTGATCAAAGAAAATCAATTTCTTAAACATATTTTTCATAAGAACAATTAGAATGTGACTTGACAAAAAGACAAAGAAAATCAATTTCTTAAACATATTTGTCATAAGAACAACTAGAATGTGACTTCACAAAAAGACAAAGAAAATCAAGTAGATAAAGGACATGCACAGCACATTATTATCGTGTTCAGATAGATGGTATGATAATTGATGACTTTTGTTGAAGTAAATGCCCTTTTTCCTGGACCGCATGTTTATCTAAATTATTAGTATTTTTCTTATAGGACTCATGTTTCACATCATATTCTAAAATATTCTTGAGAAAGAGAGACGAAGATCTTCCAAAGAGAACAAACAACAAAGCAAAACTGATATTTCAATTTTTTCAAATATTACTTATGGTGATTTTACTGACAGCACATCGTTGTCTTGCTCTCATTCTACTAGCAGCATTCTCTTGCTTCTCTCTGAGGTTCTGTTGCGGTGAAGACAAAATCACGTTCTCAACTCCCATCAAAGACTCAGAGACCCTTCTCTGCAACAATGGTGTTTTCAGGTTCGGTTTCTTCACTCCTGTAAACTCCACTGGTCATTTACGTTATGTTGGGATCTGGTACGATAAGGTTCCAGTTCAAACCGTTGTTTGGGTTGCTAACAAGGACACACCCATCAACAACACTTCTGGTGTTGTTTCAATCTCTGAAGACGGGAATCTTGTGGTTAAGGATGGTCTAAACCGCCTTGTATGGTCAACAAACGTCAGAGTACCAAAGGCTCCAAATGCTACATGGGTTCAGCTAATGGATAATGGGAATCTTAAGTTACAAGTTAACAGAGAGACTCTGTGGGAGAGTTTCAATCATAACTATAATACTTTGTTGCCAAGAATGAATCTTAAGACCGACCTTAAAACCGGATACTATCTAGGACTTACTTCTTGGAAAAGCTATGTAGATCCTTCAACAGGGAACTACACAGTTAGTCTTGTTCCTTTCCCATTTCCTGAGCTTCTAATAAAGAAGAATAATGTTACACAGTGGCGTAGCGGTCCCTGGAACGGTCAGGTTTTCATCGGTTTACCGGATATGGATACACTTCTGAACATTGATGGGTTTAACCTTAACAATGATAACCAAGGAACGGTTTCATTGACCTATGCAAATGATTCTTTTGGGTATCACATTACCTTGGATCCTAATGGAGCTATATATCAGAGGGATTGGAGAACTTCTATGAATGATTGGAGAGTTGGTGTCAGGTTTCCATCCACAGATTGTGATTCATACAATAGATGTGGTCCATATGGGAGCTGCAACCCCAGGGAAGATCCACAATGTAAATGCTTAAAAGGGTTTGTGCCGAGGAATAACACAGAGTGGAGTTCAGGGAATTGGATTCATGGATGTGTGAGAAGAGCTCCATTATGGTGTGAAAGACTTGGGAATACAAGTGGTAATGGTGGTGGTGGAGATGGTTTTTTGAAACTGCAGAAGATGAAAGTACCAGACAATGTGGAAAAAAAGTCTCTAGCTGATGAGGAAGCTTGTCCTAAGGTTTGTTTAGATAACTGTTCTTGTACTGCTTATGCATATGATCAAGGAATCGGATGCATGCTTTGGAGTGGTGACTTGGTTGATATGCAATCATTTTTGGGAAGTGGCATTGATCTTTATATTCGAGTTGCGCATTCTGAACTCAGTGAGTAAAAATCTCTACTAATTCTCACTTGTTTTACTCTTCATTGACTTATATTTTTCACCTAAAATCTTGTTAGAAACACATAGCAATCGAGTACTTATGATCACAGCACCTGTACTAGGCGTTCCCTTTGTTGCTGTGGTATGCGTTCTTATTGCATGCAGGAAATTCAAAAAGCGTCAAGGTTAGAGTTTTGTTTACTCATTGAAGATTGTGTCAGACTGTTTTTCTTACTAAAACTTGTTTGCTTTGTCTTTAACAGAACCACAAAAAGATAGAAGCGCAGAGATATTGTTACAGAGAATTGAAGCACTAACAAGTGGCAATGAGCTTGCTTCTAACCAAGCCAATCTCAAGGAGCTTCCTCTCTTTGAGTTTCAAGTGTTGGCTGCAGCAACTGATAACTTCTCTCTAAGAAACAAGCTCGGGCAAGGCGGGTTTGGTCCTGTTTACAAGGTAAATGCATTAATGAAGAATCCGTTTTGAAAAGAGACTCAGGGAATTAAGTGAATCATAATGTATTCTTCAGGGGGTATTATCAGATGGGCAAGAAATTGCAGTGAAGAGGCTCTCAAGGGCATCAGGACAAGGACTTGAGGAACTTTTGAATGAAGTGGTTGTGATTTCAAAGTTGCAACATCGTAATCTGGTGAAGCTACTTGGATGTTGCATAGAAGGTGAAGAAAGATTGTTAGTATATGAATACATGCCAAAGAAAAGCTTGGATGTGTATCTATTTGGTAAACTTGTCTCCTCTGTTTCTTAACTCTGCTTTTATTTGAAGAGAAAACTAATGCTTTTGCTAGCTTCTATCAGACCCTTTGAAGCAAAACATTCTTGATTGGAAGACTCGGTTCAACATAATGGAAGGGATTTGCAGAGGTCTTCTGTACCTGCACAGAGATTCAAGACTAAAGATCATTCACAGAGATCTAAAAGCCAGCAACATTTTGTTGGATGAGAATCTGAATCCAAAGATATCTGATTTCGGACTTGCAAGAGTGATCCGAGCGAATGAAGATGAAGCTAACACAAGAAGGGTTGTTGGAACTTAGTAAGTATCTATTCACAACAAAATACACAACAAACATTGTGAAATTCGGTTGTATCATAGCCAATGTGAATGAGATTTGTTATATTGCAGTGGTTATATGTCACCTGAATATGCAATGGAAGGTTTATTTTCAGAAAAATCAGACGTTTTCAGCTTGGGGGTTATATTTCTCCAGATTATAAGTGGGAGAAGAAACTCTCACAAGGAAGACAATGATCTAAGCCTTTTAGCTTATGTAAGTGTGTACTAATAATCAGTGTTTAGTAACTTATGATTAAGTTTTGAAACTTATGTAAGGTTGGTCTCTTTTCAAAGGCGTGGAAGTTGTGGAATGACGGTGAGGCTGCTTCTCTAGCCAATTCAATCGTCTTTGATGAGTGTTTTGAGAAAGAGATTACAAAATGTGTTCAGATTGGACTGTTATGTGTGCAAGAGGCTGCAAACGATAGACCAAATGTTTCCACCGTAATTTGGATGCTAACTACCGAGAACACGAACCTTCCTGAGCCAAAGCAGCCTGCGTTTATAGCAAGAAGAAGAGTTTTTGAGGCTGAATCTTCTGACCAGAGCAGTCAAAAGGTCTCTATCAACGATGTGAGCCTCACAGTTGTAACCGGACGTTAAAGCTCACATAGCCAATATGTATGTTTATTTAATATAATACGTTTTAAGAAACTCCTATCTTTGTAAATTTTGTTATCTTGCGCATGTTTGATTGTTAGATACTTACATTAAAGAATTAAGAGATGTATTTCAGTAAAGTTATGTTCAGATTCACTAATTGCAGATTTGGAATTATTAACCTCAGTTAAGAAAATACTATCTGAAAGTGAGCTGTGTTGATAATTTCAATAGAATTCTAGTACTGGATCTACTCTAAGATGCATTAACCACCTGAATGAAGAAACTGATTCTGAGTAAAAGCAGAAGAACAAAACCGACACATGCTCTCAAGAAGCTACAGTAGGTTCTGTCTTGACAGAAAATTAGAAGATTAATATATTTTCTGTTTTGGATTGCTTTGCTATATTGATATACGGTAGTGAGATATACACTTCATAAGTCATACCAAAGTCTACTCAAGAGATGAAAGTCTTCTAACGCAATTTTGAGAGTCCTCTTGCTTTCTTTGTCACACTTCAAATGTTGTCTCCACCAACTCCACTACTGACTTCTTCAAAGTCTTCTTATAGAGACTACTTTTTATTAACTGACCTTTCTTTGGATTCTCTTATAGATGAAAATCTTCCAAAGAGAAACAAACAACAAAAGCAAATCTGGAACCATTCTGTTTCAAATAGTACTTAATGGTGATTCTACTCAACAGACGTTGTTTTCTTGTTCTTGTCCTACTTGCCACATTCTCTTGCTTCTCGTTGAAGTTATGTTATGGTCAGGACAGAATCACGTTTTCAACTCCAATCAAAGACTCAGAGTCAGAGACACTTCTCAGCAACAATGGTATTTTCAGGTTCGGTTTCTTCACTCCTTTAAACTCCACTACTCGGTTACGTTATGTTGGGATCTGGTACGATAAGGTTCCAGTTCAAACTGTTGTTTGGGTTGCTAACAAAGACACACCCATCAACAACACTTCTGGTGTTGTGTCAATCTCTCAAGACGGAAACCTTGTGGTTACCGATGGTCAAAGCCGCCTTCTATGGTCAACAAACCACACAGTATCAGTATCTTCAAATGATACTTCGGTTCAGCTAATGGATACAGGGAATCTTGTGTTACAAGAAAACAGTGAGATCCTATGGGAGAGTTTCAAGCATCCTTACAACTCTTACTTGCCAGTAATGACTTTTGGTACCAACAACAAGACCGGAGAGAATCTAAACCTTACTTCATGGAGAAGCTATACAGATCCTTCAACAGGAAACTACACATCTAATATTTCCTTTTTCCCGTTTCCTGAGCTCATGATCTGGAAGAAAAACAATGTTCCAATCTGGCGTAGCGGACCATGGAACGGTCAGGTTTTCATCGGTTTACCGGATTCGATATCTCTTCTGTTTCTTGATGGGTTTAACGTTTCCAATGATAACAAAGGAACTTTTTTAATCTCATACGCTACTGATTCTTTCATGCATCACTTTAACTTGGATCCTGATGGATATCTATATATGAGAAGTTGGAATACTTCTACTAGAGCTTGGTCGGTCGATGCCATTATTCCATCGACAACTTGTGATGTATACAACAGATGTGGTCCATTCGCGAGCTGCAGTTTACAGGAAAATCCGCCTTGTAAATGCGTGAATGGGTATGTGCCGAGGAATAACACAGAGTGGAATCGAGGGATCTTGATTGGTGGATGTGTGAGAAGAGTTCCATTGCAGTGTAATGTAAGTAGTACTGGTGGAGGAAGAGGAGATGGGTTTTTTAAAATGCTGAAGATGAAATTACCAGCTAATGTGGAGAGGTCTCTAGCTAATGAGAAGGATTGTCCTAAAGTTTGTTTAGATAACTGTTCTTGCAATGCTTATGCTTATGATAGAGGAATCGGATGCATGCTTTGGAGTGGTAGATTAGTTGATATGCAATCATTTTTAGGGAGTGGCATTGATCTTAATATTCGGGTTTCGCATTCCGAATTTAGTGAGTAAAATGAACACTAATATTCTCATTTGTTTTTGTTCTTTCTCCATTCAATTTGAATTCATTGAATTATGATTTCTCATTGTAGATACACATAGTAAGCGAAGAGTTATGATCATCACAGCATCTGTGCTTGGTGTTGTGTTTGTTGCAACGATCTGTGTTCTTTTGGCATGCAGGAAATTCAAGAAGCGTCCAGGTTAGAATTTTGTTTTACTTCTTTAATGATAGTTTTAGATTGTTTGCTTCATTGATCATTTTCCTTAGCAGATAGAAGTGCTGAGCTATTGTTTCAAAGAATGGAAGAACTTACAAGTGGTAACGAGTCTTCTTCTAACCAAGTCAAACTCAAAGATCTTCCTCTCTTTGAGTTTAAAGTGTTAGCTACATCTACTGATAACTTCTCTCTCATAAACAAGCTTGGACAAGGCGGATTTGGTCCTGTTTACAAGGTAAAGGCACTAAACAAGAATCCTTTATGATAATCTCATACAAGGTTAAGTGACTGGTAATCTTTTCTTCAGGGAATATTATCAGAAGGTCAAGAAATTGCGGTGAAGAGGCTCTCAAGGGCATCAGGACAAGGACTAGAGGAACTTATGAACGAGGTGATTGTGATTTCGAAGTTGCAGCATCGAAATCTGGTGAAGTTACTTGGCTGTTGCATTGAAGGTGAAGAAAGGTTGTTAGTCTATGAATACATGCCAATGAAGAGCTTGGATGCCTATCTATTTGGTAAACTTGTCTCCCTGTTTTATAACTCTGTTTTATCTCCTCTGTTTCTTAGTTTTGTTTTAGCTCCTCTGCTTCTTAGCTCTGTTTCAGCTCCTCTGTTTCTTTTTTTTTTTTGAAACACTCTCCTCTGTTTCTATTTTCTCTGTTTTTAATTGAAGAGAAAGTTAATTTTTCTCTCAGACCCATTGAAGCAAAACATTCTTGATTGGAAGAAAAGGTTCAACATAATGGAAGGAATTTGCAGAGGTCTTTTGTACCTGCACAGAGATTCAAGACTAAAGATCATACACAGAGATCTAAAAGCCAGCAACATTTTGTTAGATGATAATCTGAATCCAAAGATATCTGATTTCGGACTTGCCAGAGTTTTCCGAGCAAATGAGGATGAAGCTAACACAAGAAGAGTTGTTGGAACTTAGTAAGTACCAGTTCCCAACAAGCATTGTCAGTTTTATCATAACAACTTAAATGAAATTTTTGTCTATTTGCAGCGGCTATATGTCACCAGAATATGCAATGGAAGGTTTATTTTCAGAAAAATCAGATGTTTTCAGCTTGGGGGTTATATTTCTAGAGATCATAAGTGGGACAAGAAACTCTCACAAGAAAGAAAATAATCTGAACCTTTTACCTTATGTAAGTTTGTAGTGTGTACTAATTAGCGTTTTGTAACTGTACTAGCAATGAAACTTACCTGTAAATTTGATATTTTACAGGCGTGGAAGCTGTGGAACGATGGTGAGGTTGCTTCTTTAGCAGATCCAACCGTTTTGGATGAGTCTTTTGTGGCAGAGATAACAAAATGCGTTCAGATTGGACTGTTATGTGTGCAAGAAGTTGCAAATGATAGACCAAGTGTTTCAACTGTGATTTGGATGCTAACTACCGAGAACACAAACCTCCCTGAGCCAAAGCAGCCTGCGTTTATATCAAGAAGAGGTGTTTCCGAGGCTGAATGTTCTAACCAGAGTAGTCAGAAGGTCTCTATCAATGATGTGAGCCTCACAACTGTAACAGGACGTTAAGCTCACAAGACTGATTTTTATGTTTGTAAAATTTTGTTATCTTGGGCATGTTTAATTGTTAGATTAAAGAATGAAGAGCTGTATTTCAGAGAAGTTATGTTCAGAATCAGTAATTACAGATTTGGTATTATTTACCTCAGTTAAAAAACACCTTAGGTGAAACTGAGTTGTGTTGATAGTTTCAGTAGATTCTAGTACTGAAACCTGACCTACTCTAAGATGGATTAACTAACCTGGTTGAAGAAAAGTAAAAAACTAAACCGACATATGTTCTTAAGTAAGTTCTGTCTTAACAGAGAGAACTTGAGAACATTATAATCGTTTTGTTTTATATTTTGCTTTGCTATATTGATAAGATCACTTTTGCAAGTCAACAAGTCTACTCAAGATATGAAAACACAATACAAGTTTACTAAAGCAAGTAGTCCTTTCGCTTTCTTTGTCACTTTAAAAATCTTGTCTTCATCGAAAGAAAAGTCAGCTAATAATCCACCACAAGCTTCTTTGAAGTCTTCTTATTGAGACAAAAACGACTACTTTATTAATTGGCCTCTCTTTTGATTCTCTTAGATAAAAAAAATCCTCCAAAGAGAAACAACAAAGCAAATGTAACACAATTTCCGTTTCAAATAGTACTTATGGTGATTCTACAAAACAGACGTTGTTTTCTTGTTCTTGTTCTACTTCTTGCAACATTCTCTTGCTTCTCCCTGAAGCTCTGTTTCGGTCAGGACAGGATCACCTTCTCGACTCCGATCAATGACTCAGAGACACTTCTCAGCAACAATGGTCTTTTCAGGTTCGGTTTCTTCACTCCTGTAAACTCTACTGGTCATTTACGTTATGTTGGCATCTGGTACGCTAAAGTTCCAGTTCAAACTGTGGTTTGGGTTGCTAACAAAGACACTCCCATCAACGACACTTCCGGTGTTATCTCAATCTCTGATGATGGAGATCTTGTGGTTAAGGATGCTCAAAACCGTCTTGTGGGAGAGTTTCAAGCATCCTTATAACTCTTTCTTGCCAACAATGACTCTTGGGGCCACCAAGGGAAGTACAGAGAATCTAAAGCTTACTTCATGGAAAAGCTATACAGATCCTTCAACAGGGAACTATACAGCTGGCATTTCCCTTTTCCCATTTCGTGAGCTTATGATCTGGAAAAACAATGTCACAATCTGGCGTAGCGGACCTTGGAACGGTCAGATTTTCATAGGCTTAGAGGATGAGGTAGCTCTTCTGTTTCTTGATGGGTTTAATATTCTCAGTGATAATGAAGGAACATTTACAGTGTCATATGCTACTGAATCTCCCATGTATCACATGAACTTGGATCCTGATGGAGTTCTATATATAAGAAGTTGGAGTACTCTTACGAGATCTTGGGAGATCGGTAACACTATTCCAACAACAACTTGTGATGTATACGGTACTTGTGGTCCATTCGCGAGCTGCAGTGTAAAGGAAGTTCCGATATGTAATTGCATAAAAGGGTTTGTGCCGAGGAATAACACAAAGAGGAGTGGAGGGAGCTGGAGTAGTGAATGTGTGAGAAGTACTCCATTGCAGTGCAATGTAAGTAGTGGTGGTGGAGGAAAAGGAGATGGGTTTTTTCAAATGCAGAAGATGAAAGTACCAGCTAATGCGGAACAGACTCCAGCTAATGAGGAAGCTTGTCCTAAGGTTTGTTTAGGTAACTGTTCTTGCACAGCTTATGCATATGATCAAGGAATAGGATGCATGCTTTGGAGCGGTAACATGGTTGATATGCAATCATCTTTGAAGACTGGTATTGATCTTTTTATTCGGGTTGAGCATTCTAAACCCAGTGAGTAAACTAAACTCTTATAGTCTCTATTGTTTTCTTATTCTCCAATTAGTTTTATTTCATTGACTTATTATTTTTCAATGTAGAAACACATTCTGTAGAAACACATAGTAGTAAGCGAGCAATTATGATCACAGCACCAGTGCTAGGCTTTGCGTTTGTTGCTATGGTCTGCATTCTTTTGGCATGCCGTAAATTCAAAAAGCGTTCAGGTTAGAGTTTTGTTTACTCCTTGGGGATAGTTTCAAACTGTTTGCTTCATTGATCATTTGTCTTAGCAGCACCAGAGAAAGATACAAGTGCAGAGCTAATGTTTAAGAAAATGGAAGCACTCACAAGTGTTAACGAGTCTGCTTCTAACCAAGTCAAGTTCAAAGATCTTCCTCTTTTTGAGTTTAAAGTGTTAGAAACATCAACCGATAACTTCTCTCTTATAAACAAGCTCGGGCAAGGCGGATTTGGTCCTGTTTACAAGGTAAAGCATTGAAAAAGAATCCTTCTGATAAAGAGGTACCTTATCAATAGTCTCAGACTAATATAGTGTCTGGTAATCTTTTTGTTTAGGGTATGTTGCCTGAAGGGAAAGAAATTGCAGTGAAGAGGCTCTCACGGGCATCAGGACAAGGATTAGAGGAACTTATGAACGAGGTGGTTGTGATTTCGAAGTTGCAGCATCGAAATCTGGTGAAGTTGCTTGGATGTTGCATTGAAGGTGAAGAAAGGATGTTAGTATATGAATACATGCCAAAGAAAAGCTTGGATGCCTATCTATTTGGTAAACTTATCTCATCTGTTTCTTAACTTCTCCTCTGTTTCTTAACTCTGTTTTTACTTGAAGAGAAAACTAATGATTCTTTTATTGTTTTCTTCAGACCCATTGAAGCAAAAGATTCTTGATTGGAGGACTCGGTTCAGCATAATGGAAGGAATATGCAGAGGTCTACTGTACCTTCACAGAGACTCAAGACTAAAGATCATACACAGGGATCTAAAAGCCAGCAACATTTTGTTAGATGACAATTTGAATCCAAAGATATCTGATTTTGGGCTTGCTAGGGTTTTTCGAGCGAATGAAGATGAAGCTAACACAAGAAGAGTTGTTGGAACTTAGTAAGTATCCATTCCCTACAAGAGTTATCAATTTTATCATAGCAACTTGAATGAAAATTGTGTTATTGCAGCGGCTATATGTCACCGGAATATGCAATGGAAGGTTTATTCTCAGAAAAATCAGATGTTTTCAGCTTGGGGGTTATATTTCTAGAGATTATAAGTGGGAGAAAAAACTCTCACAAGGAGGACAACAATCTAAACCTTCTAGCTTATGTAAGTGTTTACTAATCTGTGTTTAGTATTGCTACTAGCTTTGAAACTTACCTGCAAATTTCTGGATTTTACAGGCGTGGAAGCTGTGGAACAATGGTGAGGTTGCTTCTTTAGCAGATCCAACCGTTTTTGATGAGTCTTTTGTGAAAGAGATAACAAAATGTGTTCAGATTGGATTGTTATGTGTGCAAGAAGTTGCAAGCAATAGACCAAGTGTCTCAACTGTGATCTGGATGCTAACTACCGAGATCACGAACCTCCCTGAGCCGAAGGAACCTGCGTTTATAGCAAGAAGAGGAGTTTCCGAGGCTGAATGTTCTGACCAGAGTAGTCAGAAGGTCTCTATCAATGATGTGAGCCTCACAACTGTAACAGGACGTTAAGCTCACTAAGTCATCCATTTGGTGATGATGATCACATACAGCCTTTTGTAATTTGCAGACAATAAATAGTTGCTGACTAGAGTCAGGATACTATGTACTACTTTCATTTCAAATATTAAACCTTTTGAATTCGAGTTTATAAGATAAACAATGTGGTCATGTTGCTCTGGTTTGATTATGTTAATCAAGTCAGAAAAGCCGGAAGGAGAACAAGACAATCAAATTGAACAATCTATGTACTTAGAATGAACTAAAATCCATAACAATTTATGTTGCTTTGTTTTATTGATAAGATCACTTCTGCAAGTCAACAAAGAGATGAAAATACAAGTCTACTAAAGCAAGTAGTCCTCTCGCTTTCTTTCTCACATTTCAAATCTTGTTTGCACCAAAAGAAATGTCAGCTTAATACTCCACCACAGACTTCTTCAAAGTCTTCTTTTTTTCGAAGTCTTATTATAGAGACTACTTTATAATGACCTCTCATTGGATTATCTTAGATGCAAATCCTCCAAAGAGAAACAAACAAAAAAACCCAAATTTTGAAACCATTCTGTTTCAAAAACTAGTGATGGTGATTCTACTCAACATATGTTGTTTTCTTCTTCTTATTCTACTAGCAGCATTCTCTTGCTTCTCTCTGAGGTTCTGTTGCGGCCAAGACAGAATCACGTTCTCAACTCCCATCAAAGACTCAGAGACACTTCTCAGCAAAAGTGGTGTTTTCAGGTTCGGTTTCTTCACTCCTGTAAACTCGACTAGTCATCTACGTTATGTTGGGATCTGGTACGATAAGGTTCCAGTTCAAACTGTTGTTTGGGTTGCTAACAAAGACACTCCCATCAACAACACTTCTGGTGTTGTTTCAATCTCTGAGGACGGAAATCTTGTGGTTAAGGATGGTCTAAACCGCCTTGTATGGTCAACAAACGTCACAGTACCAAAGGCTCCAAATGCTACATGGGTTCAGCTAATGGATAATGGGAATCTTAGGTTACAAGAAAACGGTGAGATCTTGTGGGAGAGTTTCAAGCATCCTTATAACTCTTTCTTGCCAACAATGACTCTTGGGAGCAGCAACAGAACTAGAGAGAATCTAAAACTTAGATCATGGAGAAGCAATGCAGATCCTTCAACAGGGAACTATACAGCTGGTGTTTCCCTTGTCCCGTTTCCTGAGCTTATGATCTGGAAGAGCAACAATGTTCCAATCTGGCGTAGCGGGCCTTGGAACGGTCAGATATTCGTCGGCGTACCGAGTTCAGTATCTCTTATTTTTCTGGATGAGTTTAACGTTTCGAATGATAATAAAGGAACATTTTTAATCTCATATGCTACTGATACCTTCATGTATCACTTTAACTTGGATCCTGATGGAACTCTAAATACAAGAAGTTGGAGTACTTCTAAGATAGGTTGGGAGATTGGTACCACTATTCCAAGGACACCTTGTGATGAATACAATAGATGTGGTCCATTCGCGAGCTGCAGTGTTAAGGAAGTTCCCACATGTAATTGCTTAAAAGGGTTTGTGCCAAGGAATAACACAGAAAGAAATGGAGGGAGCTGGAGTAGTGAATGTGTGAGAAGAGTTCCATTGCAGTGCAATGTAAGTAGTAGTAGTGGTGGTGGTGGAGGAAAAAGAGATGGTTTTTTTAAAATGCAGAATATGAAAGTACCAGCCAATGCGGAAAAGTCTCAAGCTAATGAGAAGGGTTGTCCTAAAGTTTGTTTAGATAACTGTTCTTGCACTGCTTATGCTTATGATAGAGGAATAGGATGCATGATTTGGAGTGGTGACTTGGTTGATATGCAATCATTCTTGGCAAGTGGTATTGATCTTTATATTCGGCTTGCACGTTCCGAACTCAGTGAGTAAAGTAAACTCTAATAGCCTCGCTTGCTTTCATCTTCTCTTATTGGTTTGACTTCATTGACTTGTTATTTTTCAACAGATCTTGTTGAAACACATAGTAGTAAGCGAGCAATTACGATCACAGCAACAGTGCTAGGCATTGCGCTTGGTGCTATGGTCTGCGTTCTTTTGGCATGCCGTAAATTCAAAAAGATTTCAGGTTAGAGTATTGTTTACTCCTTGATCATAGTTTCAAACTGTTTGCTTCATTGATCATTTGTCTTAGCAGCACCAGAGAAAGATACAAGTGCAGAGCTATTGTTTAGAAGAATGGAAGCACTTACAAGTGATAACGAGTCTGCTTCTAACCAAGTCAAGTTCAAAGAGCTTCCTCTTTTTGAGTTTAAAGTGTTAGCTACATCAACTGATAATTTCTCTCTAATAAACAAGCTCGGGCAAGGCGGATTTGGTCCTGTTTACAAGGTAAAGGCACTTAACAAAAATCATAATTATAATCTCAAAATTCTAGTGAAGTGTCTGGCAATCTTTTTCTTTAGGGTATGTTGCCTGAAGGGAAAGAAATTGCAGTGAAGAGGCTCTCTCGGGCATCAGGGCAAGGACTTGAAGAACTTATGAACGAGGTAGTTGTGATTTCGAAGTTGCAGCATCGAAATCTGGTGAAGTTACTTGGCTGTTGCATTGAAGGTGAAGAAAGGATGTTAGTATATGAATACATGCCAAAGAAAAGCTTGGATGCCTATCTATTTGGTAAACTTATCTCCTCTGTTTCTTAGCTCTGTTTTTACTTGAAGAGAAAGCTAATGATTCTTTTGGTGTTTCTTCAGACCCAGCTAAGCAAAAGAGTCTTAATTGGAAGACTCGGTTCAACATTATGGAAGGAATATGCAGAGGTCTTTTGTACCTTCACAGAGATTCAAGACTAAAGATCATTCACAGAGATCTAAAAGCCAGCAACATTTTGTTAGATGATAATCTGAATCCAAAGATATCTGACTTTGGACTTGCAAGAGTTTTCCGAGCAAATGAAGATGAAGCTAACACAAGAAGGGTTGTTGGAACTTAGTAAGTATCCATACTCAACAAAATACATAACAAACATTGTGAATGAAAATTTCTTTTTTTCAGCGGCTATATGTCACCAGAATATGCAATGGAAGGTTCATTTTCAGAAAAATCAGACATTTTCAGCTTGGGGGTTATATTTCTAGAGATCATAAGTGGAAGAAGAAACTCTTACAAGGAAGAGAACAGTCTGAACCTTTTACCTTATGTAAGTGTGTACTAATTAGTGTTTAGTAAATTTACTAGCTTTGAAACTTACTTGTAAATTTTGGATTTTACAGGCGTGGAAGCTGTGGAATGGCGGTGAGGTTGCTTCTCTAGCAGATCCAACCTTCTTGGATGCGTCTTTTGTGAAACAGATAACAAAATGTGTTCAAATTGGATTGTTATGTGTGCAAGAAGTTGCAAACGATAGACCAAGTGTTGCAACTGTGATTTGGATGCTAAGTACCGAGAACACAAACCTCCCTGAGCCGAAGCATCCTGCGTTTATAGCAAGTAGAGGAGTTTCTGAGGCTGAATGTTATGAACATGGTCAAAAGGTCTCTATCAATGATGTGAGCCTCACAACTGTAACAGGACGTTAGGCTCACAAAGTCAACAAATGATTATCCATTTGATGATGATCAGATACAGCCTTTGTAATCTACAGACAAGATATAGTTGCTGATTTAGAGTCAGGATATTATGTACTACTTTCAGTTCAAATATTAAATCTTTTAAATTCGAGTTTGTGTGTGGCAATGGCATGTTGCCCTGTTTCGATTCTGTTAAAATTCTTGTCTAAATCAAATAAGAAAAGCCGAAAGGGGGACAATACAATTAAATCGATACATATATATACATACAAAGAGAACACTTTATTCAAATTCTCTGCACCATCATCATTCTCAGGCACTAGTTTTCATTGTTTTATGTTCACTGTTCTTCGGTTCAGAGAACAAACGGGAGGTTAATACAGGTAACCAACCGCGTAAATACAATCTACGTAGTTAGAATGAACCAAAATCCATAACAGCAAAAAGCAAAAAAAAAAAAAAGAATAGAGAAATAAACAAAGATGAACATCAAGAACATGTACTTTCTTTCTATGTTCCCTCATCTAAGATGTGTAAAACTTGGCCACTCCTATTATGATGACAAACAAAATTTAAAGAAAGATGGAAACCTTTCTTCTCCTACGGTGCCATCAGACCATCCACCGTGTAAGAAAGAGACTTAGCCCAGTCGGTTTTCAACACCATTGTTTGCAGCGTGTGCATCACATCATATCCTGGATCAAGTTTCCTTTGCCAACCCTATAAACCAAAATCAACAACCATAAGACTGAAGCAAACCTAGGCTATAGTTACCAATACCATTAAGCTACAAAAAGTCTTCAAAGGCAACATCTACAAGCTCAATTTCTATAATAAGCTTGGATGCATTTCTATACCAAGTTCCATGATCTGAAAAACCTATATTAAAATTTTGAAAATAGCAAAAGATTTTGACTCACCTCGAGAACTAATGTAGTGACCATCACAGTGCACACATTCCCATCAATATTAACTCTATGACGTCTCACTTTCTCAAGTAACTCGTGCATGCAATCTGCTGGATGTACTAAATCTCCCTCAGGGGTTCCCCAGAATTTGAATGCTTCTTCTACTTCCTGTCACAATATCATCCATCACATATTTGACAATTTAACTAAGGTGTGTACCAAGGAGCTTTGGTCAAATGTATTATTACCTCAATAAAAGCCTCTGGATTGGGACAGTTTTGCTTTCTAGACAACTTAAGCGTTCTCTCAGCAGCAGTCCGGCCATCTCTAAGCGCAACCGCCTTGAAAAAATCAAGCAAGTTCTCTCTGTCGTTCTTTGATAGCTCTGCAGTCATTCCAACATCAAGAAAAACAATGTGTGGCTTCTTTGTTTTGAACACTCCACGAGAAGCCTTCTTCCGGACAAGGATGTTCCCAGGATGCATATCAGCGTGAATAAAGTTATCAACCTGAAAAAAAAAAAAATCACAACTCACTTAGTGCATCAATGAGGCGTGATCTTTTAAAAAAAAAAAAGACTACAAAGATGCTCTTACCAGAAGCATCTTCAAGAGAGCATGAGTCCCAATGTGAGCTAATCTAGTTTTAATCCATTCATGTCCTTCTCCTTCCATGCCATCAACATAACCAGCTACACTTTCTCCATGCTCATATGTCTCCACCAAAACAGCAGGGTGTACAAGGGGATACACAGGTTTAGGGAAAGACACATCTTTCCATCTCCTGAAGTTATATATAAACCTACTCAAATGAGAAGCTTCCCTCGCCAGATCAACTTGAGACAACATGAAGACACCAAACTGTTGCACACTCTCGTCCAATCTCAACCATTTCAAAGCCGGAACTAAAGTCGACATCCTCGCCACAAAATTGATGATCACAAAATCTCTCCTTATCGATTCACCAACACCAGGATGTCTAACTTTAACAGCAACCAAAGAAGACTTTGACTTTTGTCCTGGATACTGAAACCTCAAAGAAGCTCTATGGACTTGAGCAATACTCCCTGACGCCAAGGGTGCCTCTTCAAACTCCTCAAATATTTCGGAGAGCTTACGACCAAAGGCCTTCTCTATAGTCTTTTTAGTGTAGGCAAAGCTATGCTGAGGAGCATCACTGTGAAGCTTCGAGAGCTGTGTGCAAAGATCCTTGGGGAAAAGATCAGGTCTAGTAGCTGCCCATTGACCCCATTTGATGAAAGCAGGACCTGCTCTTTCGAGAGTTCGATGAACCATCTCAAGCCATAGTTTCCTAAACCTTGGCCCACATGTTCCAACGACCAGACCCATGAGGATACTGGGAGTAAACAAACAAGATATATAGAAAGCCCTCCCAATCAAAATGAAAAACTCTACAAGGGAAAACAGCAACGAAGTTATAAAGATGGGACCGTTCTTTGCCCTTGTGTAGAGTGATTTATGTGAAGGATAGGGATCTAAGTGGGGAGCTCTCTTCTGCGCCAAAGCTAGTTTTCCACTAGTGACGGCGACGATGCCGGGGATTAACAAGTGTGAACGGGAGAGAGACAAGCAGAAGGCTTGAGCAATGATGTTGATACGAGGTAAGTTCCATTGTCGCATAGAGTACTTATGGTGAAGTCTTTTCAAAGCAACTCGAGCATGATGAGTAACTACATTTCTCGCAGAGAGGGTTGTAGAATAACGCCGCGAGAGGTGATGCACATTACTGGGAACTCTAGCGGAGGAAGAGTGAACTCTGAACTGAGGAGACCTTAGAGAAGATGTAACAGCAGTTCTGAAGCTTCCCCATTGGGATCTTGTCTCTCTCTGGTTCGACCAAAGAGATTGAGTGTGTTTTCCAACGAGTCTATAGATAAGAAATCTGCAGTAAAGCAATGGCAAATGATCAGATAAGAGACTCTTAAATAAGAATCCGATTAAAATTAAGACGTATAAACACTAATATACACCTAAAAAGTTCGAAACTTTACACCTGAATTGAGTTAAAAAATCTACATTTGGAATCATCAGAGCTGTCTAAAGAAGGATCCTATTAACATTAAGACGTATAAACCACAAAAAAGTTCGAAACTTTACACACAAAAAAAAAGAAGCTACATTTGGAATCATCAGCTAAGAGAGCTTCCTAAAGTTGGAACCTTTACACATATAATTCAGTGAAAAAATTCTACAATTTGGAATCATAACTGAGTCTCCGAGGAAATGGGAATCAAAAAGCCGATCAAAATTCATGATTGGTTAATCAAAGCTTGAGGGACAGACCTTGACATGGCGGTGGCGAAGGTGAGAAACAAAATAAGAAGAGGTAGCTTGGTGGGTAATATGATGGATCTCTAAAACGTTGAGATTAAGGAGCATTTTCTCATTGATTTCCACTTTGTGGGTGAGAAGGCAAAGGGCAAAGGATAAGAGGGTCACCGTTTTTGCCTCCCGGCGTTAATTGGGTTTGGAAAATACCTCCCGGAGAAGACCTAAAGCCGACGCGAACAGAGAGAGAGAGAGAGAGAATAGGTCAGAGAGAGAGAGAGAGGCCCACAAAGGTTAGTTCTTTGGGCTTAAGCTTAACGCTAAATTTGATTTTGGTCGACGTGTGACATTGTCAACCTAAGCAATGACGTGAAGTGAAACAAAACAACAACAAAAGTTATACCTTTGTCGCTCTAAAGACAGCCTGTCCGAAACATTTTTCTCATAAACCAAACCAGAATCAGAATATGTTTATGTTTTGTAATAATATTGTCAAATTTGAAAGCTATATATATTCAATTATTCTTCTCTTTCGCTACTTTACATTTTTTTTCCTTCTTTGAATCGAATTGTCAAACTTTGAGAGTTGAAAGAAGACGAATGAATGAGAGAAAAATTGAATCGAGAGCTTTAAGAGTTATGACACTTTGAGAATCCGAACAAGTATGGTTTTAGGATTTGTATTGTACATTTTTGGCTTCTGGTTCTTGAACGAATATTTGTCCCCAAAGATTTTGTAATTTGATGATAAGTACAGAACGAAAGCTTAGGAGTTGATTAGTTAGTGTTGGAACTGAGTAGCTTCATTAGTTTTTTTTAATGAATTTTTTTATTGCAAGGCATTGAGTCACTGATTGTTTTGTGTGGAGGGGTGTAGGGAGTCGTTAGTTAGTGTGAGACTCTGGTGTTTAAAAGCTTGAGGATTTCTTGAGTTGTTGCTGATGACTTGCAGCTTCTCCTTATTTAAATTTGTGGCAAAAAACAAAAATATTGACAGTTTTATGATGAACAGATGATTGCCACTTAGTTCTGTCTTATCTGCTATAACTTATGTAATGTGTATATACTGCTGATACCTTAAGTCATGTTTTATTCATGCCCTATACAACTTAACTTCATGAACTTTATTGCTGTGCATTTGGCTTCTTTCTGTATTAACTCACTGTTAACCAAAGCTGGATTTGTTTTCTATTAAGTCCATGAACTTTCTTAATGAACCCTGCCAATTTGATACAGGAAACGGAGAGTGTTTAAGATAGTTCACTTTATAGAGAACATAATCTCTAGTCAAATAGATTGAATAAGTAGAGTGTTTAAGATAGTTCCTCTTTCTTTGTTGAACTTGTTCCAAGCTTCCTTCCTATTCGATGTGATACAATACAATCAATAAAGTTGTTGTTCAGATCTACATCTCTCTCTTGGATAGCTACAGTTTGAGAGAGAGGGTGGAGATTTTCCTAAATTCTCTAGACCTAAATTAGACAACTATAGATTGAAATCCAACGATAGAGTGAAGACTTTAGAAGACATTGATTGTTGTTGATTGAGATAGGAGACGACCGGTTATGGTTTTCAATTTCTTTGACACAATAACTAAACCGGATTATCATAACGGTAATCATTTACTATAAACCAGCGGTATAGAGAACGGTTAAGATTTCAAGTGGTTTTGGGCTCACTCCCCCGGTTTTTCAATTTTTGTCGAAATGCCAGAGTAGGATATTCATGTAAGGTGGGGCTGTGTCATTCACGCGCTCAAGTGAGAGTGGGGAACACTACAATGTAATTTTTAAGCACTAAATTTATTTTTTTTTGAAAAAAATCTTTCATATAAGTGATTAACACATAAAACTCTAATAGTTAGAAATTATTTTTATCAGTTTTGATGACTTTCAAATTTTTATATTTCATGCTCTAGGAGCAATGTTGCTAGACATCAAATAAAAATAGAGTTTGAGTAGTTTCAACCTAAACGATGTAGTTTTAAACAAGAAGGATGTTTGGTGGCCAGAAGCTATAGTCTCCAGAGTCCACATGAATTGTCTATAGCTTTAAGACATGTTGTAGCTTTTCTAATGAAATTGCTAGAAACCAATTCAAATTTGTATGAAAGATGAAAAGAACACTCTTTCTTCGAGCTTTTGTCAGAAAAAAAAAAACTGGTTAATGAACTTGAATGAACTTGGCACAATGCCTGAGCATGTGATTTCAACAAACAGATGATGTAAAGTTGTTGTAAAAGAACTATATAACCGTTACAAACTGTTACATCTGACAGAGAATCTGCGAGAACCCCACATGGCAATTAGTGTATCCACAGCTACGTCACTCCATTTTCCACCGTCCCTTCAATGAGTTTTACATATAGATCCATGTAAGCTTTAGGTGTCCTCAACCCCTTTTCCAACATCTCACGAATAAGTTCAACATAAAGATCGTTGCAAGCTTCAGGTGGTCTCATCCCATTATCTACCATCATCTCTTTAATAAGTATAACATATACCTCTTTGCAAGCTTTAGATGGCTCCATCCCCTTTTCCACCTTCTCTTGAATAAGTATAACATATAGATATTTGCAAGCTTCATGTGTCGTCTTCTCATTTTCCACCATCTCTTCCATAAGTATAACATATAGATTAATGCAAGCTTTAGGTGGCGTCATCCCCTTTTCCAACATCCCTCCAATAAGTACACAAAGATCCTTGCAAGGTTTAGATAACTCCATCCCATTTTCCATCATCTCTCCGGTGAGTTTAACATATAGCTTAATGCAATCTTTAGGTGTCATCATCCCCTTTTCCACCATCGCTTGCATAAGTACACAAAGATCCTCGCAAGCTTTAGATGGCGTCATCATCCCATCTTCCACCATCTCTCCGGTGAGTTTAACATATAGCTCAATGCAATCTTTAGATGGCCTCATCCCCCTTTCCACCATCTCATGCATAAGTAGATAAAGATCCTCACAAGCTTTAGATGGCGTCATCATCCATTTATCCACCATCTCTTGAATAAGTTCAACATATCTAACAATGCAAAGTTCAGGTGGCCTCAACCCCTTTTCCACCACCATCTCATGAATAAGCTTCTGCGCCTTATCTTCACATTTGTTATTGAAACAGCCATTGATTAGTACTGCGTAGGCCATATCATCAGGCTCCACCCCACTTTCAATCATTTGACGAAACATCTTTTCCGCAGTTTCAACTTCCCCAATTCTGCACTCCCAATGAATCCAAACCGTGTAGTAGTAAACGTCTGGTTCAAAGTTACGGGCCTCCATATCTCTCATGATATCAGGTCTCGGGTCGTGATCTTGAAAAATTGTGTATGTTGCCAAATCAGGAATGACTCTTCTCTTCTTCATGTCCTTAAAAATAGCATAGGCTTCATCAAACCGGTTCACCAGGCAGTAGCTGTTAATCATGGTTGTGTAAGTGTACTTATCAGGGATAATCTCCCTAGAATTAAGTAAAAGTTTGAAGTTCCGCAGGGCATTCTCCACTTTCCTAACTCGACACCAAGCGCTGATCATGATCCCATGCACGCTCTTCCCAGGTTGAACTCCAAGTTTGTACATTTTGTTCAGTACTAACTGAGCTTTGTAGATGTGATGATTATCACTGGCACAAAGGCTATTGACTAGTATGAAGTACACATTCTTGGGAAGAGGGAAGTCTAGCATGTAGAATCGTTCAAAGGCTTCATCAAGACGACCAGTTTCACAATAAGCTTTTATGAAACTTGCATCATTTCCCTGAGATTTATCATAGTAAGCATCAGCCTCGTGTGTTTTGCCTGCAACAACAAGGCCTTGGATGACCATGTTATGTGTAACGTTAGTGGGCTTTACACCTCGGCTTTTCATTAGTTCTAGCGTTCTGTTTACGCTCTCTACATCACCATTCCTAGCTAACCCACCGGCGAGTACGTTGTACGTGACGATATCAGGCTTTTTACCTTCTTTTTCCATTTCCAGAACCAGATCAAGCGCTTGGTCGACTTCGCCGTGTGCACAGCAACCACCTATTAAAGTCGTGTAGTTGATGACATCAGGAGACATTCCATTACGCGTCATTCCTCTAAACAACTCAAGCGCCTCTTGCGTTTTACCAAGTTTTACCAAAGCATCAAACGCCACGTTGTAGCAAACCCTGTCTAGTGAAACATTCAAGTCTTTAAACTGGATAAACAGATCATAAGCTTCCGCAAACTTTCCCATGTGACAGCAGCAATCAAGGATGGAGCTTGCAATCACACGGTTTATCTTCATTCTCTCACCTCTCCCCACCACAACATCGTTGAAAAACTGCAAAGCTCTAGGGAAGTTCATCCTCTTGCGATGTCCTTCAATGATGGCAGAGTAAACACACACATCCTGACCAATCCCATGTTTCTTCTCCATCTCATCAACAAGCTCTTCAGCTTCCTCCATTTTCATCTCCTCACACAAACCAACGACCACTTTGCGATACGCCTTGACCACAAGCAAACGAGTACCCGCATCATCAGCAACTAAACCATACTTACGGAACAGAAACAAAGCCATGTCATATTCCCCACAAGCATCCATACGAGAAATAAGAATATTAAACGAACTTGCACACGGCGTTGAATAACAATAAATATCTATAGCTTCACCAAACATGTTGAGATTAGCATAAGCTTTAACCAAAGAACCACATAACCTCTTCAACACTTCCTCTCCCTCTTCTTCAATAACATTCAACAAATCCCTAACACTGAAACCACATCCCTCATCTCCTCTCTTAATAATCTCCACAAGCAACTCATCAAGCTTCTTATCTAAACGACAACTACAATTACAGAGGATTCTAACAACAGTGGCGTAAGCTTGGAGGCTAAGTAAAGAATCTCTGTTTCCTTCAATTCGTTTCAGAAACGATAAAGCACGATAAGGATGTTCTTTTAAACTAGTGAGTACTTGCAAAACCCCTGTTTCGTTTATTTCCACTGCTTTGACCTTACTTTGACCTTCTCTCTCGAGTTTCTCTGGGTGTGTGATTGATAGAGGAGCCACGTAGAATCTCCGCGCTCTTCGAGCTAGACCTCCTCCTCCTACTCTCACGTGTGAGGAGAGTAACCAAATCTGAAACAGTCGCATGAAATGGGTCTGCCGCCGACAAAAGGTTTTTGAGACCTCCGTCTCCGACAAGATGACGACGACCACTTTAACTTTGTTTTATTATTTTTCCAACTATTTTCGTTTAGGGTCAAAGGCCCACATAAAATCCAAGCCCAACATTATTGTTAAACTTAGGCCCAATAACAATGTCAAATAAAAGGGCTTATGCACTCGAGACTTCTTGAGATTAAGGTAAACTCAACGCATGTCTGTTCAAGATCCGTCTTTAGATCCACAAAATCAATTATAAAAAAGATTGGTTTTGGTTCATACACGGCTTTGTTTTGTCTCACTGTCATCATATATATCCTCACAAACTGTTTCCAAAAAGAGATTGAAAGACTTTCATAAGCATATGATATCATCATATCACACAATTAAAGAATCAAGAAGAATATAGTTTCAGAAATTAATGATTCACAACTAAGATAAACATTTATAGTTTATTAGTCCCATAAAATCTAGCATATATATGTTTACAGAAAGAAAAATCTAATATTCACTTCTCGTCACGTTTCAGAACAGAGTATATACATGCAGCCTCCATTGATCTTTGATTTTTGTAGTAAAAAGGTCAAACATAAGATTAACCTCTTATTTCAATCTGAAATTCACTGATTTATAGATGATTTATTTTAATTTACACAAGTTTACAAGAAAAGCAATGATACGTTACTTTGTGAGACCAAAACAGAATCTCTCTTCTGTCTTTTAGTGAGAGTGAAGCTTAAGAAAGTAATCTGATTCTTTGCCTCTTCCTATTAAACTTCCATACAATAATGGAGATAAATACAGTAACCAAAAATAAAAACATGTACTTACGAATAAAGCACAAAAATGGAAAGTGAACTTAGCTTCTTGATTTCTGTTCTGATCATATGTGCAGACATTTCAGCAGGAGTCCTTGGGATAGAAGCTGAGATTGATCAGAGAAAGGTTCTATATTCTTTATTTAAAAAAAAAAGTACAAAAAGAGTTTATTTTACGTTACCAAATAATATGTTCTTGTGTGTTTGATGTATCTTCTTTGAATAAACAGCAGCAACATCACCATGATCATCAACAACATTGCAGAAACCCAAGCTCTGGAGCTTTTGCTGAGGGAGTAGCTGCATTGGTGCTTCTCTCTATTGTCCATGTAACAGCCAATGTGCTTGGAGGCTACGCTTACGTACGTTCCAAGCAAGATTTCAAGAGAGCAACGGCTAACAAGATACTCGCAGTGGCTTTCCTTGTGATCTCCTGGTAATACAAAAGATGGAGCTCAGACATAAATTTTCAAAAGAAGTCACTAGTAACCATTTTCTTTTCGTAGGATCTTCTTTGCTGTCAGCTACTCGACGCTTGTGGTAGGGACATTGGCCAACTCGAGATCGAGTAGATTCTGTGGCTTGCGGAGTCGTTGGCTCTTTCTGATTGGAGGCATATTTTGTCTAGGTCATGGACTAGTGACTTCAGCATTTTATGTTTCAGCCCTTGCTGCTAGTAAAGAAGACATACAAGAAGATCCAGCAAATAGAAGAGGCGCATGATCCTTGTCTTTTTGACACAATCATGTCTCGTGAGTGTATAAAAACTAACAACATAACACTTGAAGTGCTTCACTTTTAGTAAAAACTTGCTTTCTTGACATTAATAAACCTGAAAAAGTTTCAAAGTTAACTCTTCAATAAAACGCCAGAATTGAAGGGAGAGAACCAAAAACAAAAATTCTACATATCTTTAAGGTTTTGGTCGAAATGCTTGAGCCATCTTTGTTACAACCTCATGAATGAAACCGGTCTTCAGCGAGTAGAACTAAAACTCCCTAAGCTGTAACACTTTCCAAAGCTCCTCGAATCTCTTATTATCCTCTAAGGCAAGCCTACTCCAACCTTGCTGAGCTGAAAGATCATCCACACCAAAGTGCTCTAGTGATTTAACAAGAAGAGACTTCACAAACTCATCATAGTCTGCAAGACTCATGCTTCTCATTTATTAGTCGTCACCACCTCGTCTTCAGAGTCTCTACCATTAGGAGAAGAAGAAACTAGCTTATGTGGCTCTTCTTGAACTTGCCATTAGATTTCTTCACAGCTGAATCCAAAGCCAATCCCATCAGTAATAAAAAAACAGTCACTTGTCTTGGGACTGAGATCTGCGTTACACCACTTTCCCACGTTGTTATATAGTCCCTATATACTAATCTGATTTTAACGTTTTTCCTGAATTTATTTGAACTTTCCGTTTTATTTTCCCTACCGTTACGATTTTCTTTTAAAACAAGAAACTTACTAAATTAGCCACTTTTTAGATATTCATATAAAAAAAAGATCCGGGATGTGTAGGTAATTTCGTATAATGAAATGACAGGAATAACGTAAATTATGTAAACAGTCGCGGATAATTAATATCTTTATTATCAATTAAATATATTTATATCAATCGTTCAAAAACATTGGGCCTCACTCTTATGAGTCATCCGTAGTTTGATATCTCTGTCCCATCATTCAAGTAGTAGATAAACACTGAAACACCGAATCATATCATATAGCTTTTACAGAGAGAAACAAACAAACAAGAAGCCAAAACTTAGTACAGTAGATATTTAGAGAAAGCTCCAAGAGATGGACGATCAAGAACAGCAGAAGAATTCACGAGTTATTAAAGTCGATTCTGCAGAATCATGGAACTTTTATGTGAGTCAAGCCAAGAGTCAGGCTTGTCCTGTAAGTCTCTCATCCTCTTTTTATCACTTTCTTTTTTCCATCAGATATTTCTCTCAACGCATGAACCACCACAACAAAATTGTTTAGGGTGGTTTAGATGAATGGATCTATCTTGTTTGTTCATATGAATTACCAACAGAGTTTGTTGCTTTATGGTATTTACAGATTGTGGCTCATTTCACAGCATCATGGTGTATTCCTTCTGTGTTTATGAACTCGTTCTTTGAAGATCTTGCCTCTAGCTATAAGGATGCTCTGTTTCTTATAGTTGATGTTGATGAAGTCAAGGTAAAAATATTACATGTCTTGTCTCTAGTTTTTGTGTTTTATATCATAAAAGAATGAAAGAATACTCAAAGAAACATTATCTCTTCACTTGTGTTGTGAAATTGAAGAATAGTTAGATTGGTAGATAGTTGATGGTTTTATTTTTTTCTCTACTATGTTGGACTGATCAGGAAGTGGCGAGACGGCTAGAGGTAAAGGCGATGCCGACGTTTATGTTCTTGAAGGATGGTAATACGATGGACAAACTCGTGGGCGCAAACCCTGATGAGATCAAGAAAAGAGTCGATGATTTCGTTCAGTCCTCACACCTTGTTCATATTGCTTAAAAGTAAATTGATAGATGGTAAGAGAGTCCAATCCTAATAAAGTTTGTGTAAAAGTTTATTTTAGTTTGTGTAAAGTGTATTTATAGCTTGTGTAAAGTGTATTTTTACTCTTTTTAGTTTGTGATTTTGTGTAAAAAAAATGTCTGTGTGAAATTGCAAGTGAAGTGTAAATTTGTTTCTACACTTTTGCGTTGGCTGTGGGTGCTTTAAAGAGATTGATGTATGTTTTTGCATAAAAATGACCTACGGGCAGTGAAAATCTTAGAAATGACAGTTTGTATATGTTCTATATGAGGTTGAGTGAAGATTAGGCAAAATGATTTGGTTCATGACTAACTTATTTTACATAATGCCATGCTACAAACTTCTTTAATAGAGTGCATTAATACTGCATTCGGATTGCATCTTTTTTAATTAGTGAATTGCTAAAAATGACTTTTACCATTTTAATAAATTAACCATCCTGAAAAGCAAAGGTATGAAATAGCCAACTAAACAAATAATTAATTAAATAATTTAACAAATTATATAAACTAGGATAAATGAAATGCAGAAAAATTTATTGAAATCCACGAAGAACCTGTTATTTGCATTGAGCTTAACCGGATTACACATTGTACCGATCTACAAAATTAGCTTTCATTGTCCAATTCAGTTCAATTTTATATAGTTTGATTTTGTTAAAGTTTGGTTAAGGTTGGTTAGCCTTGCCAAATATTGAGGTTGGTTTAGTTAGATTAAACCGGATAATCTAGTTTAACATCTTGCCAGATTAATCTGCTTTGTTCGGTTTTTGGTTTGATTTTTTTGTAGCCAAATATTCTCTACAGATTAAGAGGGGACTTACACGAGCTGGTTATTCCAGAGGATTGAGTAAGTGTGGTAATCTTTGGTTGGGTCGAACCAATTCCATTTTATTTATTTTATGTCCCCATAATTATTTTTTCTAGATTTGTCACTAGAGAAGAAAGCAGAAAGCAGAGCTTCTTGGCCGAAGAGGAGGTATACTTTCAACACAACTTTATCATTTTAATAAAACAGTATGTAGACGCTGTCTAAACAATTCGACAGTTTGGCCGAGTGGTCTAAGGCGCCAGATTTAGGCTCTGGTCCGAAAGGGCGTGGGTTCAAATCCCACAGCTGTCAACTTTTTTTTTATTTTTCAGTAGACTAAACCCCTCTAGTCAAGAGATTCTATTTGCCTGCACAGTTATATATAAGCCTTAGTCTAAAACTATATAAAATTTATAATCATATAAAAATGATATAATTATTCTCAAAAATTAATATAGTTTAAAATACGTATAAAAACAAATAAATGTATCTTTTCAGAAACAAAATAAGTATATATTCATTGCAAACGTTATACTTGATCTTCTTTTATGAGAAGTTTCTTCTTCCAAAATGAAATGTTCTTGTTAAACAATGTTAAACTTATTTTAATTATTACATGAGGTGGGTCTATAAAAGTGTTTGTTCTCTTATCATAACACTTTGAACTATATTTTTTATTTTCTTCCTCACGTTATGTAATTTTCCTTTTAAAATTTAATATATGAAAAATGATTCTAGCCACCGGACTGTTACAAAAGTTGACTACAAGAAAATTTTAATTAATCTACACTTGCTGATAAAGAGCTACAAGAAAACTTTAATTAATCTACACTTGCTGATAAAGTTGTTTCAAAAAAAAAAAAAAAAAAAAAATCTACACTTGCTGATAAAGAGCTAATTTATTGCTAAAAGTGAACTACTCTATTGAACACTTTACATAGACAATTTGGAAATGATGGAATCAATTTGCTTTTAAGAATGGTGTATCTCATAATGTTTCGATAGGTAAATACAATTAGAAAAGAAGAATATCTATGATTATATATCAAAAAAGCATAGTAGATAGATTTCTCAAATAATGACGGAGACCAGTTGTTATTTTTCTTTATAGCTTAATGGTTCTATTTGCAAGTTTGTAAGAATACAGTTTAGTCAATGCACTATTTTTGTTTGTTAATTAGTTTGTAACACTGCAGTCACTTCATACTTGGAAAACAATCTAAGTGAAGGATTGAAGCAAATGAGCTAAAGTTGTTGGTTGATATCATTAAAGTTGTTCTTTTCTTCGTTTTATGATGATTTATTTTCATTTTTGTTTCAGGATCTGAAGGTGTGTGTGCTGCTAACGTCTCAATTCAGAGACTCGTTTTCACAATGGAGTGTAAAAATGATTTGCTCACCACAAAGAGATTGATGGAAAAACTCACTGTTGGTGACATTGTGAAGTGTGTGATCACGTCAAAATCTCCTGAATTTGGCTACTTCTACAAGGTAATTGAGTTCAAAACTTTTTTCTCTAAATATTTACTGTTTCTATTTACTTGTTTGAAACAAACAATGTTTGATTGTTTGAAACGCAAACAGTTAGCAGGTAGAGTCTCTGCCTTGATCAAACATTCCAAACTTTCTCTCGGGCAAGAGCTCAAGCCTCACACTCTGATTGAGGGAAGGGTGCATAAACTCAACTTCATAAGGCTAAAGATATTTTTGTCTTTGTAATGAGTTTATGATGTCTCTCCACTCTTGTCTTCTTTTCCCTTTTATCTTTTGTGACTGGTTAAGAGAGTATTTTAACAAATATATTTGTAGTATCATTTATTTTCTTTCTATTGTTGAAGTTTATGGATCTAATATGTGTTTATCTTATAAAAATTTGACTTGCTACAACAAATGTCTTCAGTTTAAATTCAATTTAAATCTTCAGGGCACAAAGATAGTCCATGAGCTTTTCCTTCCCTTCAAACTCCTCCATGAGCTGGCTGGAACTCTAGACCCTGAACCAACTAGCTAGCTCCACATAGAATGAATCTGATCTAAACTTGACACGGAACAATTAATCTCTCCAAGATGCGTGATGAAAACTTGTCAAACTTTTCTCATTCGATGAAGGTCTTCACATCCTTCTCCTCCATCAGCCATTATGTTCCACCCAGCATTTGCTCTCAAGACCTTAACCTAACACACTGGCCATTTGTGTTTGTTTGACATTAGTACTAAGAACTTTGGAAATCAGTTTAGCTTAACAGAAACATAGATAGTAATAGAGATACTGACCTTGGATGAATGGCACAAGGATACTTGTTTCCAGTCAATTTTATAATTATCGCTAAAAGTGAACTAGTCTATTGAACCCTTTACATAGAAAATTTGGAAATGATGAAATCAATTTGCTTTTAAAAATTGTGTATTTCATAATGTTTTGATAGGTAAATACAAATAGAAAAGAAAAAATAACTATGATTATATATCAAAAATAACATGGTAGATAGGTATCTCAAATAATGACTGAGACCACTTGCTATTTTTTGTTATAGCTTAATGGTTCTACTTATTGTGTAAGTTTGTAAGAATGGAGTTTACTCAATTACAATGCTTTTGTTCATTAATTATTTTGTAACGCTGCAGTCACTTTATACTTGAAAAACAATCTAGTTGAAGGATTAAAGCAAATGAGCTAAAGTCAATGGTTAATATCATTAAAGTTGTTACTTTCTTCGAGTTTTAGTGTTAGGAAAACGTGGTTTGTTGTTTTGGTCTAATTTATTCATAAAGCATATCCAATATAAAAGAGATAAAGTCATTGCCTGTATATTTTGTCGGACTAAAGTAGATTGTAACTATTGTTTTGTTAACGAGAGGTTGTCAGTATGATCTGATGCTGTAAGCCTGTATGCTCACCCTAAATCTTGTATTATGAAGGATTTTGTAATGTAAATCGTTACATAAAATTTAGCGATATAACATAAATATATATATTTGGTGATTATCAAAGATGAAAAATGGACGATGATGGATATATAGGCATAGCTGCCGTCGACAAACCGTGGAAGTGTTAAGCGTCCGTGATATCAAATTTCAAATTATACTACTATCCACTTTTTTTTACTATCCACTTTAGGCTCTATTTTCTAGAAAGTCACGTTTAGGTGTGGACTTGTGATCATAAACAAAACCTAATCCCCCTAAAATAAAGGTTTTCAGAAATTTCTGTTATGGATTTGAAGATTGATGGGGAACTATTATTATTTTCAATATATCCTTAATTTTGTTTGTTTAGTTAGAAGTATAATAAACATGAATATTATGGAATATAATATTTACTTATAAAAAATTTACACAGAGGCAATGGTTTACATGTTTTTATGAAGATGAATATTATGGTTTACAAAATATAATAAACATGCATATAATGGTTTACATATTTTTAAGAAGATAAGATAAAACAAAAGTATTTAAGTCCATAGTACAAAAGTTGTTGGTTATGATGATTTTCTTGGTGGAATCAATGAATCCCTACATTTTAAATCACCACCAGCACGAAGAAGTACAAATATTCTGTCTAGCTTCTTTGGTCATATTGTTTATATTTTCCTTTTAAGATAAGTATAAAGATTTTTTTTTTCTTGCGAATTTAGCATGTGCAAATAAGAAAAGGAAATCAAAACTCTCCTCTCACTTACTCCACTCACTAGCATATTCTATAAAATGGCATGATTCACGGTAGTGGATGGCCAACACAAACAATCCTTTTACCACTAAAACCAAAAAGCAATGTCCAATTCAAATCAACCACTTCTTTCCAAACCAAAGTCTCTTAACCACAAGAGTCTATGTCTTGCCCTCTCCTTTGCAGCCGTTCTTGGCTGTGCAGCTTTATTCACATCCCAACTAATCTTCAGTAACACCACTACTGATGATTCCTTATTAACCCCAAGCCAGATCTGCCATGGAGCTCACGACCAAGACTCATGCCAAACTCTCTTGTCCGAATTCACCACGTCGTCACTCTCAAAGCCCAAACGTTTTGACCTATTGCACGTGTTCTTGAAGAAGTCGGTATGGCAACTCGAGAGCGCAACGAACATGGTGAACGAGGCTAGAACCCGCTCTAACGAGGTGAGAGACGTGGCCCCTTTTGCCGACTGCAAAGAGATGATGGACGTATCAAAGGATCGGATGGTGAGTTCTATCGAGGAACTCCGAGGAGGAAAACTTAATCTTGAGTCTTACTCAAACGTTCACACTTGGCTGAGCAGTGTGCTTACAAACTATATGACATGTTTAGAAAGCATAAGTGATGTCTCCATCGACTCTAAACACAGAGTCTTGCCAAAGCTTGAAGATTTGGTTTCTAGAGCTAGAGTTGCTCTGTCCATCTTTGTCTCCGTCTCGCCTTCAAGAGATGATCTGGAGATGATCTTTCCCATTCATTTCCCGTCTTGGCTAAATGCTCACGACAGGAACCTTTTAGAATCTGCT